GAAACTGAAATGAAATCCCAAAGAAGCCATCATCTCGGCCACAAGTAACCTCATGTTGTGGTGCGAAAACTGACACTGAATATCATTTCACTATTTCTTGAGAAAATATCAACTCAAAGCTGGGCTAAACTAGCCCAAAAATACTGATCCGATCCACCACACTTTAGTGCTGCTTCATCTCGCCCGTAAAATCAACTGACTACTCATCGATCTGTTAATCTATTTTTTGATGAATCAATTCATAATCAACTAAAAGAAATACGTTCATTTTCATCGTACCCTTACAGATTGCGACTGTTGTGTACTCTTTTCCTCATCAGGTAGTGGTAACGGTAAGTCATCAATCCCCGACATTTGTTCTTGCTCTTTTGGAGGGGCTGTGGTAACTTTCTCAGTCGGATTGACTGCTCCATAGACTGAGACCGCTTAAGCGCAATCAAACATCAACAATATAAAGCACGCATCAAAACTGATGAAACAAAGAACAACTTTCAGGCTACGCTTGACTATAACTTGAAACATGAAAATATTTTGTGCATTCTTCGAATAGGCTGCTAGAGCAAGTGAATGAATGAAGTGATTCAATGCTATTTCAATAAAATCTCCAAATTAATGAGTGCGCATCAAGTTAACGTGACCCGACGGAATAAATTCTTCTTCACCAATTTAACGCAACTTATTTTCGTGTAAATATTACTCAACTACATTTTATGATATAACTTCGATGGAATTATTTCACTGAATTCATAAAGTAGGTGGCAAAAGAACGAATAGATCAAGCAGTGATTTCAGAATAATTCAATGTAATATTTATCTACTGGCGCTCATAACACATACATGTAATTCTTTCGTCAAAGATAATGAAGCACTTTTGCGTCAAAATTGCATTCATCTCACTACGTTCTTTCCAGTCACTGAATTTTTCTCTCAAGCCATAAATATGATGCATACGAATGAAAATTCTCTTAATTGAAATTTAAAAAAAACAAATAAATTTAGGGAAAAAGAATTGAAATCTAAAACGAAACGAACACACATACGTTTGATAATCGTATAGTGACTGCGAAGCTCTGGAATGATCAAAGGTTATTTTAAATTCCGCTTAAGTATAGACTGATGATTGTAATTTGCATACAAACGCTTATGAAGTACTCGTATATAAGTGTAATTACGTATATAAGATATCTAAGTATAATTACTCAAAATATCATTAATAGACACCTATATTGTGTTTGATAGCATGATTATAAATAACAAAAATACATGAATCAATTCTAAATAATCATCTACTGATATTTTCACCAAAAATATCAGACTTATTATTTACGATATAATCTAGTCATTGTATGAAATGATTTGCAACCGCAAAAAAACGAAAATATTAAACGGAATCTGAATTCCAGACTGAATTATGAAACAAGAATCTATGAAAAACAGATGGAAAATGGAAAAAAAGCAATAAAAACAAAATAAATCAAAAACAAGAAATAACTAAGAATGAAAATTAATGAGTGGATATTGTAAATTCCAACTAACTTTTACAACTTTTCAAAAGACTACTGTTTGCTCGTTTCGTTTTACAACTTGCCTTTGAACCTTTTTCCATTACAGATTTGACATCAAACGATGATTTGGTTTTATCACTATCACGTTTACGAAATTCTTCAGTCATTCGTTCACTTTGTGTCTTTTTCAACGATAATATCTCTTCGGCACTCTTTCGAATTATCTAACAAAGAACAAAGAAAAACTTCTTAAGCCATCCACAGTTGCAGTTGAAAAGGTATTGAGGCACTGGTCAACGGGTATCATCAATTAGTTCTCTCTTCAAAACGTATCCGGATTTTGAAAATTTCAAAAACTGGAATTATTCAGGAGGAATCTCTACAAAGAAGTTCAAGACCAGCCTTAAGCAGGTAGTGACTTTCAGATATAACTCTATGTTTGACGCTGAAAATCACTGTAATGTATGGGGCAGTCCGGCAGAACACGACTCACTAATCAGTGATAACATTGAGATTTTGGTTCAAGTAATTTTTAAACTACTGATAATCATTTGCGATGAGAGGCGAACACCTTTTGTTGTGGGTTGGATTTTTCGTTTTCATTCGCTTTAATCGACTTCTTTTTTAACTCATTTTCCACGGGTGTATCCTTCTTGCCATCATCACCAGCACCTTCACGTTGTAAAGCATTCTTCAAATTATCACTTCTTGGTTGCTGCTCTCGTGGTGAATTTCCACATTGTAAATTTGCTGTAGCTGACTGTTGTTGTGCAACAACCTGAATGGTTGAATATGATCATATCTCTTCATCACTTTAAATCACATAGAATGAATAAACATTTAAATTCCCGATGAGCCAAGTTCCCTCCAAGCTATAAATTTCCTACTTCCTGCATTTTTCGAATTTCCTATAACTTCAAATCTCCACAAGAACGACTTCATAAGTTTCCATTCTAATTCTTCATAAGTTTTTTATAAGTCTCGTGTGAGTAGTTCACATGATAAAACTGATAATAAGAGAATGAAGGCGATACTAGGAAGATTCATAGGAAGGATGTGATTAATAAGAGCTTTAACTGGCATGATAATTGAACTGCTGTCTGTAATTGTCACTATTACCTGAGCTGCAGGAGCGACTGACGCAGTGAATACCGAATCGGCAATCTCACGTTGTGCTTTAGCTTTTGATTTACATATGAACGCTGCCAGACAAACGATTAAAATATGACATAGACTCCACAGCTGAACTGAAATAAGTAATCACATTCGAGACGTTAATTTTCATTATCTGTGAACTTTGAGATCTCAACAATTTTGATGTATCATCCTTCGTGAAATTCCATTCAACCTTTCATACTGCCTCATTTCTTCGATAAATTCCAAGCTCTTTCCAGTCTAAGCCTACAATCTTTTTTGAGGTTTGCTCTTCCATAACGAATAAAATCACTTTCAAAAGGACAACTTATTTACAGAACAAACATTTACTCTCAGATTCAAAATGCTTAATCAGCAATCAAATTCGTATCTTTTTTAAGATCATACTTCGAGGAAAACCCTTCTTCAGCTTCCCGATGAAACAAATTCTGGTAGAATGAGTCAAAAACAAACAAATGTATATACATCATCTAACCCCGAATATAAAACCTACTTCGATCGTATCTCTTCCTGAGTTGTTCTGCCCATGTTGCACAATCCCACCCTCCTCACTCAACTAAGTTCGTATCCTCAGACTCCCTCCTCTCTGCTGTAATCATGCTGCGAATAAATTGTTGGAAAAGCAAAAAAAACGCGCCCTAGAGAAATCAGAATGATTTGGAAGACACCAATTATTCCCTGCGTGGAAGCGATCGATGGTTACAGGAATGGAGGTAAACCACTTCGTCCCTCTCATTTCCTGTGCCAACCTTGATTCCAAAGTATAAAAAATTGAAGAAGCGATAGATGTCTCACCAATGAATTCATCAAATTCCAACCAACCCAGCATTCTTATTCAGAAGTGATCGTTAAACCAAACAACCACTTCACGATTCGTTAAAAATAGAAAATGCAAGATGATAAGACTAGTAAGAACTAGTTAGAACCATTGCCACTCTATGTAAATTCCGAAAAATTACCACCACAAATCCAAGAGTACGGATAAATATGAACGGGACGAAATTCAGCTCGTTAACATTGCGGATTTCTTGAATTTGTTAGCAGACGACTCCGATGTCTATTGTGATCAATGAACGACGACAATTCAAGGAAACGAGATCAAAAGAGTGATTAATCAATGGAAATCAGCGAGACACATTGCCTTAATCAATTTCTGGTGAGTGCTGAATAAAGAAATACTGAACAAATCATAATCCATAATCGACTGAACGATTGCAAAAAAGGGTACTGAAGCGAAAAGGGTACCAATAACTCACTAAAATAGTCACAACGCAAAAGGAATACACAAAGTGATATGCACGGATCAGAATGGAACATAGAAAACGACGGAACAATGAATGGCAACGGCTCTTTGTTATTATGGTTGACTCGAATCTCGATCAACAAAAAGTATTTTCATCGAATTCCATAATATTCTCATCATGTGTTTAGGAATCCACAAAAGTTTAGGAATCATCAAATCCGTTCACAAAACAAAATTATTTTCACCGGTTTTCAAAACTCAAAAAATATCACATACATAAAATTGGAGTAATTTTTATCGCTGACAACTCTTAAAATCATTCCATAGTCCCCTACGGATTTTTCTTTCAAGCTTATGGAAGTACAAATCCATATCATCCCTCAAACATGAATTTACAAGACACTCAACAGACAACAAATGAATTTACGAACAAGAAAAGAAATTCTCAGTCAAAAATTTTACTCAATTCAAACATTTCAGAGGATAGACGTGATTGATGAGAT